ATACATATATATATGGCTAGTGTGTGATTGAATGACTAACAATAAGACAAATCTATTTATTAATGTTTGTGACATAGGTCCGATGGTAAGCAAGTTATTGAATGTTCTACTCACATAATAGCTCTTACCTGGTTACTAGATGTCTGTCGCAGCGATATAAATTATTTTGATTATCAAATTTTCGCCAATAATTTTCTTCTTTTGATTTAGGAATGCATTCAATACTTCTACGTTGAACAAAATGACAATGAGAGTCATGAAATACCACATGAAACAAAAAGAAGGATAGTTCACTTACTTTATGCTTTTTTATGTCATACTCATTTTATTCCCTTAGCATTTTTCTCATTCGTTCAAGTATTTTCGTTGCTCATGTATTTAAATTTATTCAACACATATGAAGCAATATTGTAATACTTGTAAAAATTCATTATTGTCTATCAGAAATCATTAGTTGGTTATGTCATCATCAAACACTTTTAGAAACGTTTGTAAAGCATGAAACTTCATGATATACATCAAAACATTCATAGAAACACTCATTGTTTAACCTAAGTTCAGTTGATGTCCACTACTTCTAGATGATTCATAGATGCCTTGGTAGAGACTGCTTGTCTTTTTTGAATGAGATTATTTCTAGTCTGGTTAACAGATTTTTCGGCTGGCTTATCATCAAAATACAGTTGTATGAATTAGGTGAAAATTGAGTCTAGTAGTCTGCATGGAAAATCACTGAACCATTGTTTAGATGAATTGAACTTGGTGTTAAAGGAATCGTCGTTTCATTCTCAATTGGTAAATATGTACAGTTCATTACAAAACTTATAGTTGAGTTCCTCTATATTGTGATGCTTTCGCTTTCATTGTTAAGCTCTACGTTGTATTGTCTGTATACATTTTAGCGAATGTACTAGAGAAGCAAGAATAATGGCAGTTCAAAGTTTTCTTTTGTTGTCATAGAAGAAAATTATTTTAATCAATGAAATAGACTATGTGCAAAACCTGACATCATTTATTTTTCTACGGAATATTATCAATAGTAATAATGATAAGCACGTAGAATAATGAAGAAGGTTCGTAATAGTTGTTTTTTTTTTTGAATGAATATAAATGGGTGTTAAAATATAAATTTGTTATTCCTTAGTCGTTCATATTCAGTATTTTAATTTTCAAAAAAATGAACAGAAAATTGATTGGTTCGGCTTCATGGAAGCAAGTCTTGAGTAGCTATTTGTCTATTACAATGCTCACTCTTTCAACCGGTAGCGGCAAAAAAATGTATGTTATATTTTTACTTTGCAAAAGTTCATTGCTTTTTATTGTTATCTGAATGATAATTAAATTTGAATATTTAGTAGCAAACGTATGCTTCTATCTATTATGAAAGTATATAATTACTTTTTAATTTAGCACTTTTCTAAAATGAAGTGTCAAGTCTAAAAATTGTGTATTCACCTACCTCTATTAAAAAATATAAAAGATGGCATTTTTTATTTTTCTCTTGATTTTATATAAAACCTAGTTCATTTTGTTGCGTTTGAGAATAAAATGGCTGTGGACTTTGAAAATTCATCATCAACACCAGAAAAGCTGGCTCTATTGGTATTTATTGCTGCTATTGTAGTTGGAAATGTAAGTTTTATATTCAAATAATAAATATGTATTTATATGAAATTTAGATTTGCGTATTTGTGACATATTTTGTTCGTGCTAATGGAAAACATTGGTCAAATATGTATGTATTAGGTATGGCATTTATTGATTTATTTATCGGTAGTTTTGTTCTTCCTATGCGTTTTATAAGCGCTTATGGAAGTCCGTTAACCTCAAAATTATGTGCTGCTTTATCTATTGGTGAATCATGTGCATTGGCTTCTGTTATTTATGCTATCGGTTTTATGGTTTACACTCGTTTATATGATTTAAAAAAAACATCATTAAACATTCGTCGCCGTCATCTTATAATATTATTATTGCTATCATGGATTGTTTTATTTCTTTTCTATGGTGTTCCATTTATGAGCAACTATTCAAGTTATCTTTTAACAGTAACATCATCAACAACAAATATAACCTCTTACTGTACAACATATACAACATCTATTTATCATCCAACCTGGATGGCTTATACAGAAATTGGAATCATCTACTCATTGCCATTTTTATGTATTTTTATTGGTCTTATTTTTCTTATAAGTCATTTATGTCAGCCAAGACCAATAAGACTTGATAAAATTCAACGTAAACAATATCGTGAACAGAAACAAATGACACGACATGTTGTTATATTAAGTATAACATTTCTTGTTTTATGGTTACCTTGGATTACCATTCGAATTTTGATTATATTTCACAATACAAAAGAAATTCAACGTGCTTTACAAATAACTTACTATATTCTTATACTCAAATCTGTAGTTTTTCCTATCTTATATGCTTCAACAAACTCATCATTTCGTGGTTCATTTGCTATTTATAGACATAAGCGAATAACAACTAATAATCGTGTATGGACAGTACGTGAACACTTTGGATATTAAATATATGTATATTTATGTATTTGTTCATGTATATAAATATATAAAGACAGAAAAATTTAACACTTTTGTTCATTACAAGTCTTCACTTGTGTATACTCTCCTGTACAATTCATTCCAGCTAATGAAGAATTTGTAGACATAGTTTCAGGTTCGAGTATAGATGGTGACGGTTCAGTACATGTTCGAGAACGAGTGGTTTGACCAATATCACATGATTTTGTGCATGGTGACCATTCCGACCAATGTGAAAAACCGCCATCAACTATAGCATACATACTTTTTTTTTCAAATTAAATTTATATGAATAAAATCTTACCAATACATCGAGTAATAATAGCAAATAAATCATTAGTACCAGACGATATTTGTGATCGATCATATTTGCAATCATAAAAATTTTTTTCTGTACCATCACATATAATACCAGGATAACAAGTTGAATTCTTTAGAATTGGATAAGGAACAGCTTAATATAGAAAATAAATAGTGATAGAAATTTGATCATTATTTACTTACCATATTGTGCTCCACGAGTACAACCAATCGATTTACAAACCTTGACGATAAAACAAAAAGTTTGTTGAGGTTTTTTTTTCTTTGGTTAACAGTTTATCTTACTAAATCAGCCATATGTTTTACTACCGTACTACTATTTTGTGAAACACATAAAATATCACCTTCTCGTACCGCTAAATAACCTTTCATTGAATATTTCTCGGGTTCTGTTTCTTTGATTCCTATAAAAAATAAATAAATTTTAAAAAAATCTGGTTTTAGTTATTAGTGAAGTTTTACCAACAACACGTTGACAATCAGCTTCACCACAAGCTCGTTGTTCAAATGTGTAATTTCCACAATTTGAATCTGGTGGAATACAAGAACGATTACGTTGTTTTATACCAATTCCACAAAATGTTGAACAGGGTGTCCATGGTGACCATGATCCATATACTTAAGTAAAATAAAATTTAAAATCAATTTTCTTAAACATAGAGCCACATCTATTTACTTGGACATGTTGTTATATTACATGGTTGTATTTCAATATCTTTACCAATACAGTTATCACTTGAAATCTTTTGACTTCCGTCATTTGCTAATAAACATTCTCGTTTTCGAAATCGATAACCTTCACCACATGTTACACTACATGTTGACCAATCACTAAAATCAGTCCATGTACCAATATCTATAAAACAATGAAAATTAAAATTAAAAAAAAAAAATTAAAAAAACAAGAACAAACCTATCCTATCACAAGCGTCAGGTGTCAGTCCTCCATTCAGACATATACACGTTGGTTTGTCATCTCCAATGCAAATAGTGTCGGGTTTACATTTAACAGTGTCACATGCTTTTGGTTTTAATTGTTCTCGCTAGATATATGAAGTAAATGACTTAGAGATAAATCATCAATTAAAATACTGTACCAATTTAATCACATCATTGTTTATTGCTTCAGCAGAACCCTCGAACAATGAACATAAATGTGTTGTGTCATCAAATGCATAACCAATACAATTGTTTTTATCTTTAACACATTCTATAGCACATTGATAATCATTAAATAATTCAAATTCATCGTAGGAAATTGATGTAAGTAGACGATCCGATGGTATTCGTAATTTATTTAAAGCCTCTTCAGTAAATTTCATCCAATGTTGATGATCATCAACAGCAATAACAATATTTGAGCAAAATAAAACAGCTAGTATAAACGACAGCATGCTGAATGAGAACATGAGCCAACAATCTGTTGACTGAAATAGTTTCTAAAGTTCTCTTGAGAGTTCAAGCCCGATTAATATCATTGGTCCCATTTCAGTCTAGGAGCTATTGACTTTGTGAATGACGCACATAAATAATCAACTAGGTGCTTTATATTAATTTTGAACCAATATATTCCCAAATGTCTAGACTTTTAATATATTCATATGGCCTCAACAGCTTTTTTTATATCAAGAAACAAATTGTTCTTGTTTGGTACTTTTAACCATTTAATCGAGTCAATCATTATATTCTTAAGAGAGTTTATGTCAGACTATTCAACATTACGACTGAGGATAAACTTTTTTCTCGACTTTTCATTATACAACTGCAATGAAAACTCAACGTTACTGATAGATCTATAAAGTTTTGCAATGGGAAATCTGTGAGAAAAAAATTATAGCCAATACTGATGTTCTTGATTTCCTTAATTATGATGATTTTTTACTCAAAATTTCATCGTAGTTTGTTTTTGAACATATTCTTGAGGATGGCTAATTTGATCGAATCTGTTCAAGTTTCATTTGATAGTCATTACGATGCTCGAAAAACAAACTACTTATCATGAAATATATTTGTTAATAAAAATTTAGAGCAATCTTGCCATGACAGTTGAAACTCATGAAAAATCAGTGAATAAGACGACTGTGTTTTTCCTCGTTTTAATACTCTTGTTGTTTCATTTATCAACAGGAAGCATCAAACTATATAGAAAACTAATGTTCTAAATAAGCTATCAGTAAATCTAAAACTAGCCTTGGCTAGGAAACATTATAATAAGCCTTCCATATAAATATGAAAAATTACCTGAATGTGTACATTTTGAATCTTGATGAAAATCGTATACAATAAAACCTTTCTAATGCGAGCACTGCCGCGGCTGACCAAAATTTCTCAGTTTACGGGAGTACTCATTATTGGGACGGTTTTCGTTTTGTTTTTCAAACGGTAAATATTTATTCACAGTCGCTTGTCAATTCTCTAAGGTGACTTTCTTCTTCTTTTCAATAGTGCATTAATTCAATTTTTGAAACAAAAGTAAGTCAATACATGTTGGTATGATTCGATATTACTAGCTGTTAACATAAAATGACGAGACACTTCACCACGTACTGTTATTACTATTCAAGAATTATTTTCTGTTTTATGTTTTCGGTTAGTTTATCTCCACTTATATATATGTTATTGATGGTGTATCACGTGGCAATACGCATAATATCGTTTTTGCCTCGTTCTATAAGTGAGTGACAGAACATACGTTGGTCACATTACCAAGATTTTTATTATTCGTGGAAGCAGAAATAAACACTCACAGTTCAGAATGAGGAAATGATCATAGTATAAGAACTCATTTTCAGCAAAATTCGCTAGAGCGGACTCTGAACCGCTCAGTATAAGTAGGTGCTCATTATCGAGAGATACTCACATAAAGAGGTTTTACTGTATTTCTTAAACTTTAACGGTTGGAGATGATAAGATTATTATCATGCAGTTAATTTAAATATATCTGATATGATAAATGCGCTCAACATATGCATAGTTTATAACTTATCAGTCAAGATTCAATGCTTTTTTATTATACGAGAACTTGTACTTTCATAGACATAGAAGTTATAACGACTGTAGCTTCTGCTCTTATTTTTATTGGCGACTGTTAGATCCGACAGTTTTCGTAGTCTTATCCGGTAGTGTCGTTAAAAATAATTATCAATCGACAGAACCAAGTGAGAAAGTAAATATCCTACAATCATTCGAGTTGCTGAGTATTTATTACTGACATATGGGTTTTTTAGTAAGTTTTTTCCTGTAGGAAACTAGTTTTTTAGTAAAATTATAATAATGGTAAAACACCTATATTTTGAAAAAATTATCTCTCAGAGAAACTCAGTCTGAAAGTTCTGAAACTCTTTTTCACAATCTGATCTAAACAATGCCTTCATATGGGCAAAATTTTAAGTCGAAATCCAAAAGTATAATTTAGCTTAAAAACTGAAACCCTACATAAAACATCCATTAAACATTCGAAACATCATCAGCAAAGATCCATCATCTCAAACCACTCTAGAATATTTGCCAATTCACTAGGCTCTATTGATTGAATATGGTTTCAACTCGAAAGTGATTTATCACTTGGAAACTTTCCTTCGTCTATCTAAGCTATTTATACATTTATTGATAGGTTGTTTAGCACTTCAGATTTCTATATGATTAGATGCTGCCTAAAAAGCTCTAGAACATAAAACAGAAACATAATTGGTGATTTAACAATAGAAATCAGAAGAGAGTTAAAATCAGATAAAACATTATCGTTTTCTTCATTAGTTTTTATCCGTTTTCAACCTCTAAAACTAGATAGCTCTAAATTTTAGTAACAAATATAGTTCATGATAAGTAACTTTTTTGTCTGGATTTTCAAACGAGAAACTACATGGATCTGACCGTAACATTGAATTCTCATTGCAGTTGTATATTTGAAAGTCGAAAAAAAAAATTTATTCTTTGTTGGGCTTGTGAAAATCGTTCAGTTTCTTTTTGCATAATGTCAAACGAATAACTAATATTCAATAAGATAGAGTTAATTGGTAATTTTAATTAATACCTATTTTACTTTTATTGGATTCATACAAATTGTTATTCAATTAAAATAAGGGGAACAATCACTACATAAGCAGTCTTCTATGACAAAAAATAAATAGTAGAAAACGAAAAAACAAGGAAAAATTTACAACTTCGAAGGTAAGTTAGTTGGTCCTTCCCATGGATATGGTAACGCATTTTCATATTCAACTGTATATTGTTGTGAGTGAATAAATTTTTCTAAATTTTTCGGTTTTGGATGAAGTCCTGCCAAATTTTTCTCATAAGCATATTCAGCTAATACTACTGCTATTTTTCTTGATACTTCTCGAATTTTTTCAATCGGTGGGTAAATAAGACCAGTTGATAAATCATCTTCTGTGACTTGTTCGGAAAGTGTTTTAGCAGCCAAATAAAATAATTCATTTGGTACACGACGAATAGCACATGTAACAATGGCAAGACCAACACCAGGAAATATATAAGAATTATTTCCTTGACCAGGTACAAATGTTTTACCATTATATTCAACATTAGGAAATGGTGAACCAGAAGCAAATATACATTGACCTTTTGTTGCTTCATATGCTTCACATGCTGTACATTCAGCCTTGGATGTGGGATTTGATAAAGCAAATATAACAGGACGTTCATTAATCGAAGCCATCAATTCAAGAATGTCACGAGTAAATGCTGGACCTTGACCAGCAGCACCTATTATAAAAAAATACAAACTAGGCTAAAAACAAATTCAATCAATAAATACCAATAAGAAATGAAGGTTTAATAGTTTGAATGACCTCAATCAATTTCACAATGGGTTTATGCTCATGTGCAAATCGCTTTTTCTCTTCATTTAATACGCTTCCGGGTCGATTCTTAACAAAACAATATCATCAAAACATAAAAAATACAATATACCTTAACAATAAGTCCTTTGGAATCAACTAAGAAAATTTTTTTTCGTGCTTCTTCTGTCGATAATCCTTCACGTTCTAAAGCAAGAACAAGTAAATCCGCAATACCTATTGATGCCTAATTTAATAATTATGAAATTAAAGAGAACTTTCTAGAAAAATCAAATCTTACTTCACCAGCTCCATAAAATACAAATGTATTATCACTTAACTTTTTTCCAGTGACTCTAGTTGCACTAAGAATTCCAGCAACAGCGACACTGGCTGTACCTTGAATGTCGTCATTAAATGTACAGTACGTATTATGATATTTTTCAAGTAAACGAAAAGCATTATGATTCTAATATGAATTACAAATTATATTTTTCTTTTAATTTCAACTATTTACTTACAGCAAAATCTTCAAATTGAATTAAACATTGTTCTCCAAACCTAAACAATCCATAGAAATAAATCTCTTAAAAAAAAAAACAACTTTAAAATTTAATATACCGTTTCACAACAGCTTGCATAAATTCATCAATAAATTCATCATATTCTTTTCCTCGAACACGTTTTTGTCTCAAACCCACGTAATATTTATCATTAAGATTGTTCTAATGAAAGTAACAATAAATTTCAAACAAAATAAAAAAAAAAAATTCTATTCACTTCATTGTTTGTACCAATATCAAGCATTATGGGCAAACAATATTCTGGTGGTACACCAGCTAATGCTGTATATAAACTTAACTTACCAATAGGTATACCCATACCATTACAACCTAAATCACCTAAACCTAAGATACGTTCACCATCAGTCACAACAATAGCCTAAAAATTCAAATAAATAAGAGAAAAAAAAATAATTAATTTCATAAACTGACTCGAACATCGTTCACTGGCCAATTGCAGAGAATATCGTAAATATGACCCTTGTCAAAGATTGATATAAATAAACCTCTATAGAAAACAACGTTTTTCTTTTCTTTTATAATATGAGATAGAAAAAATGATTTACTTTGGTTTTAAAAAAATTAAACTATACTTTTGACAGGCTAAACCAACAGTTGGTGTATAAATAAGTGGCATAATTTCTTTTGTATGTTCTACGGCGACACGATAAAATAATTTTTCATTAGTATCATGTAATGAGCCTAATGCTAAATATCGTGTTAAATCATCAGGCATTTTTCGCAAGTTTTCCATAATTCGTTCAACTTGAAGATGAGGTGTTGAGATATTTGGAGGTAATAAACCACGAATTCGATATGCTTGACGTTCTTCAATGGAAAATGCTAGTCCCTGAACAATAATCAATTGAAAATAAAATTTTTTGTTTTAGAATTTTAGAAAGGGGATGGTCGAAAATCATCGATTTTTCTCTATTCTGGAAATACGATAAAACGAAAGTACCTTAATAGTATATAGTTACTCTGATAATGATTTCGAAAGATCTTGTCCTTTATGTGGATAAAAACTTCAAAAATTTTCTGTGCTATCTTAAGAAAATATTAGGCAACTAAGATTAGCTAAGGTACGATATTTAAACAATATATTTCAACAGATTATAATTGCATTTAAGGCAGATTTCTTATTTGCTAATTATATTTTAACTCCAATAGATGGTTTTTATTTAAAAACACATTTCTCCAGATACAATATAGCATACATTACATAAATATCTAGAAAATCAATAATTAATTTTAGCCTATGTAAACATCCTGATTAATATATTATTAAAAAACAGATTTTGTTTGTACAGCATAAAAAAGTGATTCAACTTTTCTCTTTTTTCTGTTACAATCTTCAACGAATTTACTATTGCAGGATTCATTTTCTTCAGTATCACTTATATCGTCCCATTCCGTTTTTAAGAAAAGTTATGTTGTTTTTTTTTCGTGACTGAATGTGTATGAATAACAGAACGCAAGAGTGAATCATACAAACTATGTATGAGTGCTTTTTTTCTCATCTCTAGTATATATAAAAGAAATTATGTTATTTTACTTGACAGTTAGAAGTAAACAAACAGATAAATCTCATTGCTGAAAAAAATAGCATTTATATTTCAGCAGTAAATTAATCTATAGGAGTTTCAGTTAAAATGTATTTAGCAGATAATAAGTCTGTCTTAAATACAATTATAATTGGTTGAAAAATATTGTTTAAATATCGTACCTTAGGTAATCTTAGTTTTCTGATATTTTCATAAGATAGCAGAGAAAATTTTTGAAGTTTTTAAAATTTTTATCCACAAAAAGGACAAGATCTTTCGAAACCAATATCAGAGTAGCTATATACTATTAAGGTACTTTCGTTTTATCGTATTTCTAGAGTGGGTAAAAATCGATGATCTTTTGACCATCTCCTTTACTTTATTAGCACGTCGATTGTGTAAGACATCGTAACCAGTTGAATATCCAAGTTTAGAAATTTCATCATCACGAACAGCTGTTCCCATGCCTAAGAGATGAAACTATTGATAAATACCGAAAAAACAGAGAAAATCAAAAATGCTTCCATCGAAAGTGCAGCTCGAGATTAAGCATGGCATCAGGAAATTTTCTACTAAAGATTCTTTTTGACTATATAAATGAAAAAGAAAAACGAACTATTATTAGTTTCATTCAATAAATCATTTGACAAGAACAACAAATGTTTATGGTCTTGTCAGATGTAGTAACTGGACTATGTTTGCTTTCTTGTTCCACGATCAAAGAATGTAAATCTAAGAGAAATATAAGGAATCCAACAAATAAGAAATTCTTTGTCATTATGTATCTTCATATTTTTCTTTCTCGATGTATGCTGAGCAAAAACTTTAGTACAGCCAAATAAAATTTCAATTGATAAAAAAATAAAAATATATTGAAAGCTAAACACAAAATCGTTTTCTTTTTCAAAAACTGAAGTAAAAAGAATCTTTAGTTCATTTAATGATTTTAATTTTTTTTGTACGCATAAAATCGAGCAAATAAAAAGCAGCAAATCATGCGAGATAAAAACATTTTTTGTCTATATATATAGATCTTAGATAGTGAATTCAAATGTTGGTCAACCTGTCTATTAAAAAAAACTACAAAGAAACACAACGATGATACTATCTAATATATAAAATTCTCTACTTCGATGAATGAATTTCGTTGTTCTGCTTGATAATGAATATTGCAAGAAAGACCATGACAGATTTTGATAAATTCGACCACTTCTGAGACATAATTTGGTTAACATTGTTGCACTTGAATACTTGTTTTTATTTCAGTACAGAAATAAAAAAAAAGAAAAACAATTTATATTAATATTCATAGGTAAATATTATTCAAGGTTTCATCAACTGTAAACCAATGTTTTCTTTTCATTTTCTAATAGAATAAAGTTTCAATTTTAATGGAATAGAATAGCAAAAAAATAATAACATCTATTCACATGTCAAAACCTGATTGATGAATTGTCTGACTGATGACATAAGAGATGTGTCTTTATATTAATCAGATGAGATGATCTATATATGAGTCATCTCGGCAAAAATATCGGCAAGACAGAACTTATGCCATTCGCAGATGTCCTTAGTAATTGATTATATAACTTTTTACAATATAAGGAATTTGATATGAATTAACATGAAGGTTTTTTTTTTGGATTGTTTTACATCATTAACAAGAGAGTCAAGATAATTTGAAAATATTTTTATTGACACACATGAGTTTTTTATAACATGTTGTTCTTTCTTTCTGTTTTTGCTGCTCATTATCTTATACTTCACGACCATGCTGACTAAATCACACGTCGATGAATCTGAATTGCGTAACACACACACAATTCCTCTGCATCACTTTATATAAAGCGATTGCTCAATACAAAATTCACAATCATTATCAATTCATAATACAGAATGGATCGTTCTGCAATTTCCTCGATTTTACGCGAACTTAATCTAAATGAAAATTCTGTGGCTAATATTTACAACCATGGTTCATGGGTATATGGTACCAATTCACCTACATCCGATCGAGATCTTATTATTGTTACACGTTCACCTTATCAAAATCCACTAAAATTTTATGATGATTTTGATTACTTTCATCCATTTGAATTACATAAACTATGGAATCAATATGATGTTTGTGTATATTCAATTGAAAATTTCGAAAAAATTTTAGAAAAAAAACTATTTAGTTGTTGTTCAATGTATATTTTTACCTGATGAATTTAAAATCAAAGAAGAAATTGATTTTCGTCTAATTTATCTTGAAAAATATTACAATCAATTTCGATTAAAACAAGTCGCATTTTATGAAATGAATCGGGATTTTAATTTGTATGAATCTAATAATTTTTCAAATCATCCAAAACGTAGTTCAAGAGCAATTCAAACAAAACAATTACGCTATGATTATATATTTAAAAATTTATTTCATGGTCTGCGATATCTAGATTTTGCTGAACAATTAATTCAGACACGTTCAATACATAATTTTAAACGTGTAATACATATATTTGAGGAAATGAAAGACATACGCGGTAATAGAACAAATAATTCAAGTATGAAACGGTAAATACAAAAAATTGTTTCTTCATGTTTTTGAAAAACAAAAGTAATTGTTTTTTAGTGTAGTTGATTTTGTTCGTATCAAAAGTGTTGAATTAAAATCAAGGTTAGATTCACTTGTACCAACAAATATTATTCAAGGATCATTTCGAGCACAAATTACCTTCGATTGTTCAAGTAATATAGAAAAAATTATGAAAAAACTTCAAAAACAATGTGAAAATACAAAATATAAAATTCTATGTATTGGTTTAAAAGAAAAAGGAGAAAACGAAAAAAAATCGACAATTAATGACATCATCATATTATTGTGGGGAATATCCAGCCATTGTTAAATAAATCGAAGAAGAAGTATACAAACAGTTTCAAGACTTCAATATTATACGTATTAAAATTGAATCATTAACATCCAATGAAGGTGTACCACAAACAGATATTGATAAAAAATTATTTTGGGATAAAGAAACAAATTATTTCGAATTTCGTTACAGAATTTTGGTCAAAAAAAATGATGCAGAACAAAACTTAACAAAACTTCGAAATATATGTCGATCAAATCGTAGATTTCATTTACAGGTATCATAGAATGCATTAAAACAACCGGATGAAACAGATTCTACTTATACGGTTAAAATGCATTTATTTGATGTTGGTCGAGAAAATGCATTTAAAAACAATGATGAAGTTACAGAATATTTGACAAAAAATAATTTTCCACCATTAAAAGTCGTTCGTGAATTTATTGTTTATAATACATATATTAACTATGGTAATATAAGACAATAGTCAATTTACTTATGATCTTTTTTTAACCACAAATAATAGAAAAATTTGTTTTTAATTATTTTGATATTAAATAAACATGTTTTATTTTCTTGCTGATAGTATAAGACTCGTTTTATTCAATGTGATAAACCTCAATGGCTCAAGAATATATAATGATAATTGATTTATAGATCTCAATGATAGACCAAAAAAAAATAAAAAAAGACAGCACTCTTCAGTTTTTCAGTGTGTATAGAAACATTCTTTCGTATTTACTTGTTGAATTTGTTAGATACACTGGAATTCTTAACAAGTATGGAGAGCATAATACTCAGTTTATCAAGATACAAGAAGTATGTTCAGATTTCTGTAAAAGTAAATTTCCTTAACAGTGGAAATTCCCATCATAGGAAAGCAATTCATCAAAAACAACAACCAGCAACCGTTAGAAAATTATCGGAAAATTTCAACAGTTTCCGAAATATTCTTGAAAGATATTAGATGAATATTGATTCATACGATAAAAAGAAGATGCTAGTCTATGAATGAGTAGATATTTCGAAAATTATTAAAATTTCTTGTACACGGTTTTCTTTTTTCGGAATGGTTTGTTTCTATTGCTGTAATGGTAATTACAATAATTTCCGAACAGTGCAATCGGTATTATATTTATGTGGGAGTAATACCTAGAATTGAAAAATTTATGAAGGAAATTGACTTTTTTTAGAACTTTGAGCACTGCTGAAATAAAATATATGAATAATCTAATAACAATTAAAAATAGTGAAATTGTCACGCTTTCAGAAAGATCTATAGGACAAGGAGTTTGTCTTATAATTTCATCAGAAAATTGATATTGAAAAAAAGCATTGATAAGCAAGATGATCTACGAACAATGCATCAATGATATTTATGCCGAGAACAAATGGTTGTGAAAAAAGATGTCTACTGTCAGTTATTTGTGAAACTTTCAATAAAGGAAAAAAATTTTATAGTGAAAAAAATTCCTAATAGACTTGAAAGACAAAAAGAAGAACAATTTATCATGTTAATCATGCGAACTAGAAAATAATGAAATGACTTCAGCTTGATTTCCTCAGCTTTAAACTCCTTCGACTGTTGATTGTTTAGGTCGGATTGAATGATCCTCAAAATGCCATAAATGACTCGAAAACTGGGGAAAATGGCTTCCATTTCGATGATTGTTGACGTCCAGCATAAAATGGAGACATACGGTTATCAATGACTTATCCATTACGGTCACTGTTTACGTTTCATCAAAAACCACCATGGTCTCGACTGCTACTATTACCCAGTTGTTAAGTCATTGTCACATGGAAACGAAAAAACTAACTAACCAATATCATCAGATATTTCCTAATGATGTTTAGTGGACAAATCTGAATGATCGTATTTCTCACATCTAACCCTATAGATGTCTAAGTAGAAGCTTATTCTCGTGTCTTTAATATTACTCACCGCATATCGAAACAACAGCTTGTAAACGAATATCAGCAACGACCAAAAAATAGTGAGTTACTTGTTAAAAACTACATTTTTGAAAGTATAGTTTTTTAATGAGTAAACTACATTACTTAAAAAACCTTTTATGGCATTTTCACGTGCAGTGAGTATGATTGTTACGTGTGTATGCACTTCTTTTTCATATATCTACGGTGAGTGTAGCTTATGAGGATGGATTTATAAGCAGGAGTGCTATTTATTTAATGAAATGCTTCGTATAATAAATGAAAGTAGAAACACAATGCTACCTAGAGTACAATTTGAAATATGTAAGAAAAACTAATAAGATTTATATTCGTATTAATAATATATGCTGCAAATAATTTTATTCAAAATAATGTCAAGCTGTAATGTTGGAATATGACCACAATCATCAAAGTATAAATAGTTTCCATTTAAATGCTAAACATGAAAAGATTTATTCATGCAAAAGAACATAGTTGTTATGACAACAGCACAGACAGATTCTGTTTGTTTGTTTATCACTCATATTACATTGCTTATGAAACTATTTCTTTTAGCTAACCTACGAGAACGAACAATTTGCCACTGATAGATGTCCCTGATTACTTCATACAGATTCCTTGAAATCATATGTTATCAGTCGATATTGTGCTTTGATTGCAAAATACTTATATCTGTAAAAGAAAGATGGTTCACTAGAAATTTTTGCTTAATCGAACATAGCTTTTCTCTAACTGTTTCGTTCTTTTTTTCTGTTCTTGCTACTCATTGCTTCACATTACACAGCCAGGCTGACTCAATTACACGTTGATGAATCTGAATTGCACAACACACACACAATTCTTCTGCATCACTTTATATAAAGCAATTACTCCATACAAAATTCACAATCATTATCAATTCATAATACAGAATGGATCGTTCTGCAATATCCTCAATTTTACGCGAACTTAATCTAAATGAAAATTCTGTGGCTAATATCTACAACTATGGTTCATGGGTATATGGTACCAATTCACCTACATCCGATCGAGATCTTATGATTGTAACTCGATCACATTCTCAAGATCCACTAGAATTTGATGAAGATTTCGATTATTTTCATTCATTTGAATTACATAAATTATGGAATCAATATGATGTTTGTGTTCATAGTGTTGAAAATTTCGAACAACTCTTAGAAAAGAATTATTTACTTGCTATTGAATGTATATTTTTACCTGATGAATTTAAAATTAAAGAAGAAATTGATTTTCGTCCAATTTATCTTGAAAAATATTATGATAAATCTCGATTAAAAAAAGTGGCATTTTATGAAAATCTTACGGCTATGAATATGTATAATCCAGAAGATGACTCAAATTATCCAAAACGTAGTTCGAGATCAAGTGAAACAAGTCAATCAAGCAAAGATTATTTATTCAAAATTCTATTTCATGGCTTTCGATATTTAGACTTTGCTGAACAATTAATTCAGACACGTTCAATCTATGATTTTAAACGTGTAACACATATATTTAGTAAAATGAAAGATATACGCGGTGATCCAACAGATGATTCACATACACAAGAGTAAGATTTAAAACATAAACTAAGTTCTCTTTTTTCTAAGAGTAAGTTATTTTTTGTTTTTTTTAATTTTTTAGTGTTCTTAATTTTGTTCAAGATTTAAGTACTCAATACAAAGCCAAACTAGATTCACTTGTACCAACAAACATTGTCAAAGGTACATTTGAAGCACATGTCACATTTGAATGTTCACATGATACTCAAAACGTTATTGAAAAATTAAAAAAAACATGTGAAAAAACCAAATACAAAATAATATTTATTGATTTGGATACCAATCAACAACATGACAAACTCCAACAATTAATGACATCATCATATCATTGTGGTGAATATCCAGCCATTGTTAAACAAATCGAAGAAGAAGTATACAAACAGTTTCAAGACTTCAATATTATACGTATTAAAATCGAATCATTAGCATCCAATGAAGGTGTACCACAAACAGATATTGATAAAAAATTATTTTGGGATAAAGAAACAAATTATTTCGAATTTCATTATAAAGTCTTGATAGAAAAAGATTCTAAAGGACAAAAATTAGCAAAACTTCGAAATATATGTCAATCAAATGGTAGATTTCATTTACATGTTTCACGAAATGCATTTAAACAACTAGATGAAACAAACTTTCATTATATGATTACAATGCGTTTATTTGATGTTGGTCGAGAAAATGCATTTAAAAACAGTGATGAAGTTATAGAATATTTGACAAAAAATAATTTTCCACCATTAAAAGTCGTTCGTGAATTTATTGTTTATGATACATATATTGAACTTGATAGTGCATGGAAATAGTCAATTTAACTTTGTCTTTTTTTATTTGTTATTGAATTTTAAGGAATTTTTTTTTTGTATATATCAAATAAACATTTTTTACATTCTTGTTGATGAGAAATTTTATTTATGATAGAAGTACAGCCGACGACAAAAATCTAAACGAACAACTATTCTCGTTAAAGTCAGATTTTGTAGGTGAAGACTAACTCTGAGAATGGAATTTTTTTTCGAGAGACAGATAGAATATGAAATTCTCTACAGATTGATTTATTTATTTTTTCCATTTTAGTGCAAATTGCTTGATTAGAAAATACGAAATACTAGAAATTACTACAACTTATTTTCGCTCGGACAAGATTATTTTAATTATGAAAAGTCTATAGAGACAAATGGAGTCTCCTCCAATACTACATCATGTAGTCGGCTAGTCTTACGATCTATATCAACAGATTCAAACCAGACAAAAGCTGTCGGTAATTTGATACTTGAATGTTCAGCTATCTTCTGACCACCATTCTACAACAGCATATTGATAGTTGTTTTCTAATCGACAATCTATGCTGATACATCGAAGTTAGTACGAACAATCATGCAACATGGGAAGCAGTGTCACATTATCTTTGCTCATACAAGAAAACGCAGATACTCTTTCTGCTTGTTTGTTTTCAATAACATGAAAAGAAACTGTGATGGATAGAATATGTGATTTCCTTAAAAGGTTATTTATGCATTAAGTTTACGAATTTTCTCTAATACTAAGATGGCTTGAAAGCAAAAAATCGGCTTATTCACATACAATATAAGCAGTCGTTTAATTACGTTTTCTCAATTATTGAATTGTTTGTTTAAAAATGTTTTCATGGAAATGATAGAGAAGTAGAGATGTAAAGCGATCGGCTGAGCTACTGCAGCCATCAAATAGAAATATATATACTTTTAGAAAGTTTGTGGCATTCAAAACCAGTTTTTTGACATGTTATCGTCTGGTTTCATATCAATAAGTTCTCTACCATCGCTGTATCTCTTTTTCATTTCAAAATCTCTCGAAATTAAGAATGTTTAAAAAGCACTCATCGACAGATTGCAGCTGCCATCGCCAGACAATTCATCAACTTACATTTCGACATACGAGCCGTAACAAATTTCCTGTGTCAGTGTTTACAAGATATGACATAAAAGTTTTTGATCTCATATGAATTAAATTCAGTGGTTAACTAAGTTAATCAATAATTATTATGCTTCATTTGTTATATTATCTCATCTTTGGTGTTTGTTTATATTTTCTTTTGTCATTGTCATGTAAAACTATTTTAATTCGTTTTTATTTTGAGTGTGGAGGACAGTGCTTACAGTTTCCAATGTGCCGTGTGTTAATGACAGACAAAAATTTTCCTGGCAGAATTTTACCGCACTACTATAATGATTGACGTACCTATGTAAGAGAAGACGTGCATACCTGATATGGCAGTAATTTTCTATTGTATCGTTGACATCTAATATTTACAACTTTCGAATAGTCGAATTGGATCACATATCGAAACCATTAGAAGATCATGAATGAATGTTGTCATTGTTCTCTTTCAGCACGACTTAGAATCATGAACAATAAAACAACTGAAAAAAAGTCATTAATTCATTTCGAAGTCATTCTAAAATCAACTTGATGCCAATCAGAAAATTGAACTTATTATTAAAATAGAATAAAAATTATTAGACGGATTAATCTTAGGTAGTATTTCTATAAGTTGATCATTCTAATAATATCAATTATATCTAAACGTCTACAATGATTGACATACATAAAATCATAAATTTTTCTTAGAAACATATCTCGAGTTAGATATTCAGCGATAATGCTAGATTTAAAACGCTATTGACAAAATTTATACTGAGTTTATAACGCTATTGTTCTTTCTCATTGTAAATAATTCATTTATTGTGAGCAAAAACTAAGTCAGAAAAAACACTAACCTGTTGCTTTTTCATTCGTCTCTATGCATGCCGACGGGTTACCGTCATATTAGTCATTCCCTCGACAGTATTTAGGTAGCAATTTTTTTGATCACCAGAAAAAGATATTTTTGGTCACCAAACATTTTTAGATACAAATGATCACCAAAAAAAGATAGTTTTGATCACCAAATTATTTAGAATGCATCTCATATTTTTATTTCTCAACAAAGTAAAATATAATGTACAACATAAACAATATTCATTGAAATATTAACAAAGTAAATAATATTCTTATTTTTGTTAATATATATCTTAATTTGCTTGATGACACTGGCATGGCTGCATGATCAATTGAGAGCGACGAACGAATTTGAGATTCTGTTAAACCAGCACGAACATATTGTGAAACAGATTGTCGCAGTGGAGATGGTAAACGAAATGTTTGGTTACGGTCGCTATGATTGTGAGTATTTTTGAACATTATCGTAATTGAGTTAGGATCATCATCAGGTACAACTGCTATGAGTTCATAGTTACACGATGAATATTTACGATATTAACTACATTTAAATGAGTATTTTGCATGATCTTTAAGATTATTTGTTCGATATTGACACACATTATGTGATATAGCTACAGCTTTAACATCATCAAGTGAATTAACTACACATAGTAGAATCCAATTTGATTTTGATATTTTTAAAAGCGAAAAACTTTAAAGTATTTATATATATGAGAAGCAGCAACAGGAAAGGTATGAGCAAATGTGAATGATATGATGAAAAAAATAAATAATGAAATGTAAGCAAATTACGAACGAAGAATAAATAATGAAATGTAAGTACATGACGAACAAACAAGATGTGATGAAGAATCACAACTCTCTAAGACATTTGGTGATCAAAATTATTTTTTTTTTTGGTGATCAAAAGTATGTTTTTTTGATGATCGAAAATACAATTACTTACAGTATTTTGCCTTTCCTCTTTTACCACGTTATATGCACATTTATTTGCATACACATGTAAACTGAATACGTCCTTCGAAACAACAGAATATTATATACAGATTTCGTCTACACATACAATTATTTCGGGAGATACTTATTGGATTCTTGAAAAAAATACAGCTATACTGTCGAAGCAATTCTAGATGTCAATCCTAACGTTGCGAGAAGGTTGCAACTCGTCACGTGACGAGTTGAATTTTTCAGAAAAAAACAGGACTTTCGTAACGCTAAAAATAGGGATATACGAGAAACCAGGGATATCGTAACGAAGTCACATATCAAACCACCGGTTACGATCACCCTGTAAAATTCGTTACGATAGCTCTGATTTTTTGTTACGAAAGCCCTGATTCTGTCGTTACGAAACCTCTGTTACGGGCTTTCGTACTGTCAATACGTTACGAAAGCCAGACAAGAAAAATCGTGACGAGTTGCAACTTTCCCAACGTTGCACCACAACAATTACACGTCAGTTAGATTGTGCAACTTCCATCACAAGGTATTAATTTTATTTATCAATTTTATACTAAATAATTGTAATATTTATAGCTATAAATCCATCATCTATGCCATCAACACATACTATCGTATCAGGTGATACTCTTTGGCTATTATCTCGAAAGTATGGTTGTACACTGAAAGATATATTACATGTTAACCCAGATATAGTACCAGAACAATTACAAATTGGTCGGATTGTGTATTTACCTAAGTCAGGTATTTGCCTATTCATTACTTTTGTTTCTATTATTTTACTAATGTATATAGCTGCTACTTCAATATCAACATCTATATCCACTATTACATCTGTGACCAGTAATGAAAAAATATCATTCGATTTTATATACTAGTTTAATTTATGTGTACATTTTAAGCTGCAACAAATCAGCAAAAAAGTATACCTATTGAAGGGAACAATAATAATGAATCAATTATTGTTGGTTATTTTACTTCTTGGTCGATTTATCAACGAAAGGTTTTTGTCAATGATATTCCAGCTAATAAAATAACTCATATTAATTATGCATTTGCTAAAATTGGATCAGATGGTGAAATTGAACGAGGTGATAATGAAGCTGATACAAAGAAGCTTTTTCCAGATGATACCTGGAATCAGCCATTACGTGGTAATTTTAATCAATTGGTCAAAATTAAACAAAAATATCCTCATTTACGTACTCTGATTTCTGTGGGTGGATGGGTATGTATTTAAGTGATAAAATAGAAGCTTTTCATTTGTCTTTATGCTTTCATTGTTAAATATTCGACTTTATTTTCAGACATGGTCAAAAAAATTTTCAGATATTACTGTGAATGATACAAGTCGAAAAAAATTTGCAAAATCATGTGTTAAATTTATTGAAAAATATGCACTTGATGGTATTGATCTTGATTGGTAAGTTTATAAATCTATTCTTTATTTTTAAGTGTTTCGTAGGGAATATCCTATTTCAGGTGGACATGAACATAATATTTGTCGTTCTGAAGATAAACAAAATTATGTTTTCCTTTTAAAAGAATTATGTGAACATCACAATATTGCTGCTAGTCAAAACAATAAGACATATCTATTGGCTGTGGCGTAAATGGTTCTTTTCATATGAATATCAAATAAAATATCAAGAATATTTGTATTTGATTTATAGAACGGGTCCTTCTCCACAACTTATTGCCGATATGGATTTAATTAATATGGTTACTTATCTCAATTGAATTAATGTTATGACTTATGATTATCATGGTTAATTTATTTTCAGTAATTTTAATATAGAAATTTTATTTGTAATTATATAGGAGGTTGGGAAACAAAGACAGGTCATAATGCTCCATTATACAAGAATGATGCTGAAACAGTTAATAATATTGCTCCTGCTTTTATAAAATCAAAGTTTAATATTCATGGTACTATTCAAGCATATATCGATGCTGGTGTACCTCGAAGTAAATTAATTTTAGGCATACCTCTTTATGGGCGAGGTTGGACTGGTATAGTACTTTTTTTTGTCTCTAATAGTTTTTATTGCAAACATTTTCAATACATAGGCGTAACAAGTGCAGCTCAAAATGGTTTTTCGCAGCCAGCATCTGATCAATTACCGATGGGCACGTGGGAAAAAGGAGTATTTGATTATGATCATATTAAACATGGTCTTTGTTAATCATCTTCACGTTATTGGGATGATGCGTCCAAAGTACCTTTTCTTTACCATCCGTCAACCTGTATATGGATTAGTTTTGATGATGAAACATCAGTTCAATTGAAATGTGATTATATCAAGCAGGAAGGTTTGGGCGGAGCCATGTTTTGGGAATTAAGTTGTGATAGATATAAAGAACTTATTAATATCATTTTCAAGGCATTGAAAAAATAATGAAATATATAATAGCTAATGACATTTCTTTTTCTCTCCTACTATTACTTTATTTTATGAAATCTTGTCTTTTGTAAATCCATTAAATAATAAATCAGAAGATTATTTTTAACTTAGTTCGTTTGTTCAATGTGTATATTCACTTCTCATGATACATTGCAAAATATATGTATTTTTAATTTAAAACAGATAGGCAGATTCATAGAATTTTAAAAAATTTAAAAACGACATTTATTAATATTTTGTACGAATAGTTCACTGTCAACTCTCAGGTATTTTATTAATGCTGTGACAGACAATACAGAGACTATATGTCACCAACGATTGTGTTCAATAAAAAAAAAGGAGTCAATGTTTGTAATGGGACAGTCTATACCGATGGGGAAAAGTTTTACAAGAATATAAAAAGCCAAGAGAACGAAAGAGTTTCCTATTCTCAACAGTATTCGGTTCTGAGCACTGTCAAGTCAATATGTCGTCTCTTTTTTCTGTCTAATAAACGATGAAATACGAGGAAACAATATCTTATAGTAGTTTTTTGATATCTACAGAAATTGTTTCTTCTTCCAAGATTTTATAAATATTTTTCATGCACAAAACAAATGTGAAAATATTGATTTTAGATGTAACTACCAAAGCCGCATCTTTTTCTCTCTCAATTGCAAGAGCACTTATGTTGAAAGAAAACTGCAAGTAATTTCCAGTTAATCACAACAAACTATCAGAGTTTTACTGATGAATTATCACAAATCTGTTTTCAAAGTTGTTACAGAAATGTTTTATTTATAGTAACTGTGCGATGTAAGATAGATATAGATGGATCACAAACAATAATCGATTAGTAAAACTTGGTTTTCTAGAACATCATGTCAATATGAATAGAAGAAGATTGTCTATGTTCGTCTCGTCTGAATTTTTAAAACACATTGCATATTGACATTGCTTTTACTTCCAAGTGATTTAATGATTATTATAGAATTTCAATAACCAATAAAATGATAAGTCTTTAACGAAATCTTGAAGAAATCAGCAAAACTGTTGAAGGATATTTGTTAGGCTATTGTTTACAAGTACAAGCGATAGAGATCAAGCTAGTAGGAATAATTAGCATTCAAACTCTGCTTTAATGTAGGTATGTGAGACTATCTTTAAATGAGCTTCCAGACTCGTCACCGTTTCACAAATACAAACCGACAAAAAGAAATATGAAGAGATAATCGATCTAATGATGAAACCAATGAACACGTTAGAAATTCATGGTAAAGACGAGTTTTTATTACCATTAGTGATTATCATGTTAAAGAAGTCTAAATTAAACAAAATACTACTCTTAACTATAGGTTTTTAACATGTTCACTGATGAACTGATTATCGTCATCGTTGCTTTCTCAAAAATTTACGTCATCAACAACAATACGATCAGGAAAAGTCACATAAGCAACAGATGAGAAGCGAAGTGAAATGTAACGTTTCATGACTACTATAGGCATATCTAAATTGAACGATAAAAAGAGGCAGAGAAAGAAACTTGTGTTGTAAGGTTCGGGAGAAAAAAGTGTCTTATGACACTCAACATCCACATCTACACTATCGAAAACGATATCGGCAAAACAAGCTATTAATTATGTTGGTTTGTTTGTATTCACATGATACCTTGAATAAACGCAAGTTACAAAATCAATTATCAATATAAAATACGCAAAAAACAGAAACGTATTTTTTGTTTTTAAGTAACGTAATTTCAGTCTACGCAGAGTAATGATTTGTATTTTACCATTACTGAAAAAGTACACATGACTGCTTCATTACCTACCAAACATTGCTATAATTTGTTTTCTCTTTCTTGCCTATACATGCAGTTTGAAGCAATCATGCGTGATCCTTTGATTTATACCTATACGCCAATATATATAAAGATATGATAACAGAGAGAGAACGAAGTTTATAAAAGGATCGCAAGAGAAAAATAATAACAAGTGTGTGGGTTTGTCTTTGATTTATTTCGCTTGATACAACGATATATAACTACGCTGTATTGACACATTTTTATATATCAACTGTTTATTCATTACTAACGAAAAATACTCCTGTAAATATACAGACGTGTTTTTGTTTTTAGTTTTTCTTCATCATTCATTTTCAGAGTTTCATTCAAGTGCACAATGTATAACAACAAGATAATGCTTACAGCAAAACCATCTACTACTTCTGCTGTACCAGTTGGACGTACAAGCATAAAAACAAGACGACCATCCTATACATGTCAAATTCAGAATATTTCGTTGATTTGGCTTGATGGAAATATTGAACAAATGAAGGATACGGATTCTATGCATACTATATCAAAATTAAAGCAAGTCATAAACAAAATCATGACATTCACTGATGTCGAAAAATGTATCAATTTTATCAACAACAGCAAAGATCAGAAAATGTTTATGATCTGTTCTGGTGCATTGGGGCAAATAGCGGTTCCCATCATACACAACAGATCAAATATTAGTAGTATCTATATTTTTTGTGCAAACCAAGCTTTGCATAAAGAATGGACCCGAAAATGGCCAAAAATAAAAGGTGTTTTTACGCATATTGGACCTATCTGTAAAAGGCTAAAACAAGTGATAGACGAATACGACCAAAACTTGATCTCAATTAGTTTCATCACTAATAATCATCAGGCCATTGAGCACAATTTGAAGCAATTAAATTCATCGTTTGTACCCACTCAGGTAATAAAAGAAATTCTATTTACTATCCATTATGAGCAATATCATTTCAATGATTTTATTACGTATTGTCGCCAACTTTTCGCCGAGATTCCAATGGAACTGCAAAATGTTAACAAATTCGAACGAGAATACCATCGCCAACTCGCGATCTGGTGGTATACTTATCCTGGTTTCCTTTCTTTAATGCTCAATCGATCGTTACGCCTAATGGAAGTAGATGTTATCATGCGCATGGGATTTTTCATTCAAGATCTCCATGACCATATCGCTACACTTCATGTGAAACAATACGGTGGACAGGCAAATTTGAGATCATTTACCGTCTATCGAGGCCAAGGCTTGTCACAAAAACACTGTAACCAATTGATAAAAGCAGAAGGTGGCTTTTTATCATTTAATAACTTTTTATTGACTAATAAGAATTATCAAGCATGTGTCAATTCTATTCATGGCACTATTCAAACTCCGAATCGTGTTGGCATCTTATTCGTCATTAAAATTGATCCGTCTATCGCGTCTGTGCCATTTGCCAACATCCGGGATGTCAGTTATTCTAAGGAAGAAGAAATTCTTTTCGCAATGCATTCCATATTTCGGATTGACAGAATCAAAAAAATGGACAAGAACCGACTTTGGGAAGTAGATCTTACGCTATCGAGTGGGAACGAATCGAAACTGCATGATCTTAAAGACTATATGAAAAACGAGACCTATCCTAATTTACAAGGATGGGATCGATTGGGTATGTTGCTAGTTAAATTTGAGCAGTTCGACAAGGCTCAAGATGTGTATGATATGCTGGTTAATCAAACAAAGAGTGATTCGGAAAAAGCAGATGTTTATCATATGCTCGGATGGGTGAAAGATAGTCAAGGTGAATATACCGATGCCCTGAAATATTATAAACAATCAATTGAAATCAAGCAGAACACTTCCTTCCCAATCAGCGCTGATTTGGCTGTTTCTTACAAGCACGCTGGTGTCGTGCATGAGAAAATGGCTCATTATTCAACTGCACTTGCATTTCATCAAAAAGCATTGGAAGTCTATCAAAAAACTCTTCCTCCAAATCATCTTGATGTGGCTAATTGTTACGATCATATTGGTTTGACATATGGCCAGATGGGTTACCATTGGGATGCAATATCATTTCATCAAAAAGCACTAGAAATCTATGAAAACACTCTTCCTCCAAATCACCCTGATTTGGCTATTTCTTACAACCATATAGGCTTGGTTTATGGTCAGATGGGTGATTATTGGAATGCAATGTCATTTCATCAAAAAGCACTCAAAATCTATGAAGCAACTTTTCCAACATTTCATCCTCATTTGGCTACGTCTTACAACAATATTGGTTTAGTCTACAGTAAAATGAATGACTATTCAAATGCACTTTTATCGTTCGAAAAAGCACTAGAAATTCGCAAAAATACTCTTCCTCCAAATCATTCTGATTTGGCTACTTCTTACAACAACATTGGCATTTTATATGCTAAAAAAGGAGAATTTTCGAAAGCTCTTCTACTTCATCAACGTGCTCTTGAAATTGTACAGAATTCATTACCGCAAAATCATCAAGATGTTCTAATATATAAAAATAACATCGAAGTGATAAAGAAACTATTGTAACTTTTTTTTGTGCCAAGAAATAAATTAATTGAATAGATAAGAGTGATCTTTTCACTTAAAAAGATCCACATGTACGTACATAGAGCTTCCGTCTTATTGATAACATATTAAGACTATGTCCACTTGTAAGATAACCAATACATGTCCATTGTATGGATATGTACTATACAAAGATTTTCACAGCATAGTTTCTGGTTCAGATATCGAGACATCGAACGGCCTAAAAGAAAAAGCGATAACAATAATTGTTGTTGTTAATGCAATGAATGATTCTTTCAGTTCTAATATGACAATACTTCATCGCATTGTGAAATGAAACCAACCAGAGAAATTCTGTCGATTGAATGAATTATTTCTATGAATAGCTGAATGACTATTCTATTTGGAAGAGAAAGAATAATTCAATTATCCATAGAAATAAATCATTCAAATGAGCAGACGAATAATGTTTATATGTTGAATATGATGACTTTACATGAAATTAAAGATAAACGAATCAAGCATGTGAGTATTCCTAGTCTGAATGATTCGATACTGGTTATTGTAGGTTGTTTTTTTTTGAAAAACATTTGTTTAGGACAAAAAAAAGAAGATGATTCTGATATATTAAGAAATTTCATTGGATGAACAGGATATATATTTGAAGAAATGGAATGATACAATAACGGCAACAAATTTAGTCAAGCTATGCCATGAACTTGAAATTTGATGTGTCAATCTATCCAGTAATAAACATTGTTGCAAAGAGCACAAAAAAATAAAAATATTGACTATATGATCAAAATAATCATTTTCATGGTTATTACTTCAAAATAGTATGGTACCATAGTATTTTGCCTTTGGAATTTTCCATTGATTTGAAATGAAACTTTGGCTAATCATTATTGGAGATTGGTACGACTCAGAAGGTCTAGTGAATCTAGCAATCATTGCCATTAACATTTCATAAACTGAATAGAAATATTCATTTTGTTATTAGTATTGAAAACAAGCTTGAAAAAATCGCCTAGATGCATCGTCGTGACGGATCACCGTAACATTATCATAAACGAATATATTTAAGCCATATTGTGGATTTATAACACATTCAGTATTAATGTTTGTATACGACACTATTTGTACTGTAGAAAGCCGTAAATATGCTATGATATTGCTGTATTCTATCATAAATATGATCAAATTATTAACCCTGTATTCACAGAAAAATACGGTCTCGTTAACGTTCCATATTTCACTGTATACAGATCATATTCTTCGCTTAGGATAATTTTAATATAATGTGATCTTGATATTAGTTCTCACGGAATATTGACGATGAACCCAAATTGTTACAAAAAGGCAAGAATTCTGCTTTATTTTACTCTAAAAGTCGCCTTCTCATCATATTTCTTTTTTTTCTTAATACAAACACAGATATTTTAAAGTTTTTTTTTTTGTTTGAAACAACAATTATTAAAGATGTATGCAACAAACTCTCAACCATGTTGATCAGTTCTTCATTAAATTTGAAAACATTTATTATTTTTATGCTGAAAGTTTTCAAAAGAAAATCGCAGGTTCTTTCCATAATTAATAGAAGTTAAACACACGAAAAAAATTCGTATACATGAATAAACATTGTATACCATTGTGTGGTTTGTTTTCGGTTTTTTTTATACAAATAAGAAAAAAGAAAAGAAAAATGATGTGAATGCAACATCTAAGAACCAAATATAAAATAGTTAAAAACAAAGAGATCTTCTTTCACCTTTATCGATAGAATTTATCCTACTAGTTCATTCATAAGATACATGTGAAAAAAGCCTATGATATAGTTCTCAATAAAATCATGTTGTCTGTGTCATGAAGAATATTCAAATCATTGATGTTGTAAAGGAAGACATGAATGTTGATATTCATTGAACTCAATTTGTTTATATTTTTTAGCGATAACTCTCAAAATAATCGTGGTATAATAAATTTCTCGAGAAAGAAGTCTTTATGACATGAAGTTTTATGATCTATTATATTCGAAAACCAAACAATGTCAGTCATCTGATTGAATTGACATTTTTATTAATGAAAAGTACGTTTGTCATAAATAGTCTCGAAATTCTCTGTTTAAGACCCTCCACGATAATCACAAAAACAGTATCATGATTATACCTTATATTTTGCGTTTTATTTTTTGTTTTCATAATAAAGACTGTAGTAAATACTAATTAGTTCATTTTGTTATATGATTGAATGCGTCGAAAAGCATTTAAATCTTGTCGATATACATGAGAAGCGAATTCAGATCGAATTTGTAGTAATTATTTCATCATAAGTTGCTCACTATATTGTTCGTAGCTTAAAAAATACGTATTGTTACGAAGCATCCAAGGAAGGTAAAAATGAAGTGACAAGTCGACGGTTTTTTCAACAAATCTGAAACATTATTCTTTTTTTAGAATCCAATCCTTCAAAATGCTGTAGCTGTTAATATATCTGGTGCAAAATCGTAATACTTAACAAATTCAGATAAAATTTTCGAAATATTTTGCGAAATGCTGCAGTTTTGCATATTTCAAAAATATATTCGGTTTTACCGCCTAATTCTTTGTGGCTGTAAATTGTCTTTGCCTTAAAAGTAGCAACATTCTTCAGTAATCTAGCTGATATACTAGTTATGTTGGCGGCTATTGTTTCTGAATAATTATTTAATGACTTCTCGGAAGGTAAAGGATAATACTATATGCTACAGTTAAAAAATAGAAATTGTTGAGTCGAAGTCACTTTTGCGGTTGTTATTTTTTGATGATTATGAGTTTAGAGAATCGTAGGTTTTTGTTTTGAAAGATTCTTGATCCCAAAATTGAGACAGAAAGCAACTAGTTGTCTAAAGAGCAACATCATTTCATATTTCAATCGATGGCTAACAAAAACCTTTGCTGACTTTCTCCGAAGAAGAAAATAAGAATAGAAGATACTTTTTCGTCCTCCAACAATTATAAAACTCTCCAATGGGCTCCGTCTACCCTAGATGAAAACCCTGACATCACCTTTACACACAGTATCAGCAAACCTTTCAAGCCTTAAGCAGATTATTGGATTAGCAAAATACTATACCATTGTCAAATATCAGATATTACAGTTTTAACTTTACTAAGAAACCGTGACAACACTGTAACGTTCATATATAAAAGTTTTCAAGAATATTACCAATAGCGCATGATTTAAAAATGAAGTTATGAATATTAGCTTTTGAATCTTATAATAGCGACATTCAGATATAGAACTGGCAATACTTACCGGCTAGTTCAGTCCGATTTAACCTACAAAGACTACGTCTATTTAGACCTCCCTTTGTTTAATAGAGCGTGTTGGAATGAAAAAACATTTCCTATATTCGTTCTAGAGCGTCTTTATCGGAACAATGAAATAATCAATACGTATTCTATCATTGTTGCATTGAATGTTACCATTATCAGCGTTGAAAACCTACATCAAAGAGTCGAATAATGTTTTTTATGTTCCTTTTGTGTTATCTGAGTCGATATCATTTACAATTTCATTTATTTCAAAGTAGTTTGATACAATGACTTGCCCAGATTTATGACACATTAATTTTTAAAGCAATAGTGAAATACACACAAAGAACGGTAGATTGCGTAAAGAAGAAAAGCATCTGGCTAAATCGAGGTACTTTTTAAAGTTCAATCTGAAACTATTTCTGGTTTCGATCGAGTTGCAATGCACCTGTGCAAGTTGACTCAATGATTTGAGCTGATCATTTTTAAAAAGTTTCTGATCAATTGCTAAAGTTCTTTACATTTTTCTATTAGTTTCTATTTACAAAAGAGCCATCCTAGGTATTTAACAACTTCTGATATCATATTATTGCCATATGTAACTACAATAAAATGCGTCTTCAATTTTTGAATATTATCAAGATTCCTGAATCGAGAAGAAATACAATTTTGTTTAAATTGACGTGAGAAATATTCACGTTTCTCCTTCTCTCCCTAGAAAGATCATGACATGTCAAAAACAAATTCCTATGTTTGTTTATTCAATAGACATATGTTATTCAAACAAAGCGAGTAATGCATGCTACATACTTGAGAGAGAATTATAGGTGGCATTGTTCAAATGAAAGCTAATGAGATGTAATTAAGAATGACAAATTCGAATCGAAAAAGCCAGTCAGAAAAAAATACATATAAGGAAAACTTCAACATGATTATGATGTAGATAACATATGTTTATATTAATGACTTCGAGTAAAGAATTCGAAGAATTGCTGTAACAGTGATGATTTGCTATTGTCTATAATATAGGAGCATTTCATATCCGGTACCATTGCAGAACAAGTTCAATAATAATCACAATTGATCAAAGACAGTCGATGAAATGCAACTACATTGTTTAGCTCTTATCTAAGTTAGCTGATTGTTAACCATAAAAGACAAAATAAAGCAGAAAATTAAAATTTCATAAACACTTATGACATAAAACCTTATATTTAACTTATTATCGTTGAAAGACAATGTGACAAAGGACTAAGTCAATTAATATACTTCAGGTAATTCAAAAGTAGTGGTGGACATATTTTATATATATACAGAAAGCTTGTGGAAATACTTTCTTCATATGTAGTAAATAGTCAAAATAATTTTTTATTTTTCTGTGCTATTTGATCACTTTTCAACTAATATCACAATAATAAAATTTCGATAAGAACTGTTTGTTATGATATAAGACGATAACATTAGACCATATTGTCTTGAATGTGTCTTATTCTTTTTCTCTTTTCTTTGTGGATGTGGGTTGGAGTACAGATGTGAATGTGAGAGAAGAAAATAATAAACGCCCACAGACACATGCACAAAGAGAATAGCAAAACAATAATATACATCAAAGACAATATGATTTGATGTTATCATGACATATCATAACGAACAGCTTTTATTCGAAATTTTATTATTATGATGGTAGTTGAAGAATGATCGAATATAAGATAAATCTAGAACATTATT